CCAACTCCTTGCTATTGTGAACAAAGCCACAATAAACATGGGTGTGCATATATCTGCTTGGATGTCAGTTATGGTCTCTTTGGGGTATATTCCCAGTAATGGAATTGCTGGGTCAAATGGTATCCCTATTTGCAACTTTTTGAGAAAGCACCATACTGCCTTACACAGTGGTTAACTTTGTAAATTATTGCCTAACTTGAGAGGGACTGGAGAGCACTATGCTGAGTGAACTAAGTCAGTCCCACAAGGATAAATATTGTAGAACAGCTTTATGTAGAATGAGTATAAGGATCCAAGAGGGGTGGGAGAGGCTGGAAGCAGAGGTATGTGGATGTACAGGGGGAAGAGGGGATTAATTATTGTATTGTACAATTTGTTGGGGGGGGTGTGAGGGAAATTGAAAGAATTTGTTCAAATTTGTATTAGAATTTTGTGAATAAACTAGTAAGAAATAAAGGAGGAATTCAGGACTTGGAAGAAGGACTTGGCAAAAAATAAAGCCCCAGGAATTGACGGAATACGATTTGAAATATTTCAAAAACCGAGGCTGCCCTGACATGCTCACCAGGTTGTGTCAAGAAATCTGGAGAACAACTACCTGGCCAACTGACTGAAAGAGATCCGTATTTATTCCTACATTGACAGAGAACTACCAGAAATACAAGCTGGCTTTAGAAGAGGCCATGGTACTAGGGACATTATCACCAGTGTCTGATGGATCTTGACAGAAAGCAAAGAGTTACCAGAGGAATGGCTATGTGTGTTTTGTTGACTATGCAAAGACATTTGACTGTTGATCACAACAAATTGTGGCTGACCTTGAGGAACATGGGAACCCCTGAACACTTGATTGTGCTATGTGAAACCTATACTTTGTCCAGGAAATAGTTCTCATAACAGAGCAAGGAAACAGTGCATGGTTCAAAATCAGGAAAGGAATGCATCAGGGATGTGTCTTGTCTCCATACCTTTTCAATCTGTATGCAGAAGAGATCATTTGGGAAGCTGGGCTTTATGAGGAGGAATGT